TAGTGATAACTAAATAGTTTAATAGTTAATAGTTAAATAGATGAATAGTAAATAGTGAACAGTTAACAGTAAATAGTGAATAGTAATAACTGAATAGTTAAATAGTGAATAGTTAATAGTAAATAGTGAATAGTTATGAGTAAATAGTGAATTAAGAATAGTTGAACTGTGGATATTTAAATAGTAAATAGTTGAATAGTAAAATAGTGAATAGAGAATAGTGATAACTGAATAGTTAATAGTAAATAGTGAATAGATAATAACAAATAGTGAATAGTTATTAGTAAATAGTGAATTAAAAATAGTTAAATAGGTAATAGTCAATGGTTAAATAGTTAATAGTTATTAATTAAATAGTTAATAGTTCATATAGTCAATAGTTAATAGATAAATTGTTAATGGTAAATATTTAATAGTGAATAATAAATAATGAATATTAATATGCATATGACTAAAATAAATAATATAATTTTTTTTGTTTATTTCTGCTAATTTTAACAATCAGATTACAATACAATCTGTAAGTTAAAAGTATTGGTACTGAAAATCAAAATCAAGAAGGAAAAAAATAGAATAAAAGGAGTTAAAGAAAAGAAATAGAATAAATAAATGAATAAATAATAATTAAAATAATTGTATTAATAATAAAAACAATAATCAATAATAAATAATAATTAAAAGTAACTTGTTTGAAAATTTTCCTGTGCAAAACAGAGAAAATTATGTTGTTGACGGTGGATCACTGGGCCATTTTCTTTTCAAGCGTTTTAATTTTTCGGCTGTCGGTACTATTTACATTTCCGGATTGACGTGTATGTTTTGAAAGATTAGACTTCTGTTTTTACTCTTGCTGGCGCAGCCCCATAGCTCTATCCCATAAGTCCATATTGGAATTAGTATTGCTTTGTATAATAGACAATTATAATATATAAGAAATATAGCAGATATAGTGTTAGACTGAGAGCACTACCTTGCGGAACACCGGAATGAATTGATTTTGGAGAGGAAAGTTTTTCATTTTCTTTAATTTGAATTTTTAATCGTGAAATATTTTGGAAATGTTTTCTTAAATTTGTATAATAATCCCATGTGCCAAACATTGTCGAAGGTCTGGCTAATGTCTAGAAAAACTGCTACACAAAATTATTTTCTTATATAGGGCTGTGAGGATTGAGTTGGTTATTCTGTTGCATTTCTGTATTGTTGAGTGATGTCTTCTGAAACCAAGTTGGTGGTTGGGTATCCAGGATTCTTCGCGATGATCTTCTAATAGTTTTTGTAAAATTAGTCTTACAGGCAGTTTTATGACCTTTTAGGTATACAAACCCAAATAATGCCATTGTGTTTTTTTATCAGAAAATACAAAAATATTACTTCAAAGATACAGAACCTTATGCTTATAGAACAATGAAATTGTGTACAAGTGTGAATAGCTCAAATGTATAATTTATTGAATCGTAAGGGGCCATATTTCTAACTACGACAATCTTTGGCCGTGAACGACGGCAATCAGGAATATACATACCGAAAAACACACGAAACAAAATGCATTTAGTCTGGTTTTAGCAGCAAAAAATATTTAGTATTATTTTATTACTTTTACACAATTCTATAATTGTATAAAAGTAATAATATGCTAATCAAACTACCTGATATAATAATAATTCTCGAATCAAAATAACAGAAGAAAAATTTAGAAAGCAGAAGTATTATTATTTGGTGAAAATATTTTATGATAAATGTCTTGCTTTTATTACAAAGTTTACTACATTATTTTTATACAAAACTAATCCAAAAAATCAATTAGTTTCTCAAATTAAATTGAATTTGATTTTAAAGTTTTGCGTTTTTACTTTGGTCACTCTGCTGAAATTACGACTTATTGAGTCGATCATCTGGTCGACCAAAAAACTTTACAACCCGTCTTTTATTTGTGAATTTTTTAGAAAAATTGTTTTATTGATATTTATTCATAAATTTTCATTTCAAATAATTAATTGGATTTGACAAATACTTAGATACATAAACAACGCACTATAGAACACATTTGTGTCGAGTATTTCGGTTTCAAAGTTGTTAGAGTCGTGGAGCTGTTAAGCGGATATAACTCCTCCTTCTAACTATATAGTAAGAGGCCATACTTCTAACTATGACAATCTTTGGCCGTAAATGACGGCAATCAGGAATATACATACCGAAAATTGTATGTAGGAAATTATACATACCAAACCAGGAAAAACAACAGAAAAAATTAATTATGATGTAAAATTGATTTCAATCAATCAATTTTACATCATAATTAATTTTTTCTGTTGTTTTTCCTGGTTCGGTATGTATAATTTCCTCCTTTTTATATATTTATATTTATCATCAACTTTGCATTTATGTTATATGTTTTTTAGATTACTGAATGATGACACACATCAAGTGTCGAAACGTTTAATGGAATTTTGTTATTTAATTTTTTTTAATTCGACGATTGGGCTGCAAAAATATTACAAATATAATATAATATATATATATATATATATATATATATATATATATATATATCTTATATATAAAATTCTTCTGTAACAATGTAGGTTTCATTTTTCCTCCTAAACTATAATTCGGATTTTCATGAATCTTCGTGAAGTTTGTTCGGGAAATTTTCTAGAATGTTTTGATTCACAGAAATATAGTTAGATTGTAGAAATAAATGGAAAAAAATACAAAAAACCGCTTATCATTGTTTGACCTTTAAAATATATAAGGCATGGTTTGACATTAAAAACAAATGACAACTGTCATTTGCCAAACATTTCTATTCACTTATAGGCTAAGGCAATATTAAAATACATGGTCTGTTCAAAAAGTACCCGGAATTACTAATAATTAAATTTCGCGGGTCTGGAGTGTCTGATTGTCAAATTTTTTTTTTATTGTATTTATTGGACACAGTACTGTGTCAAGCATTGCAAGGAATAGTTGGTGTTTTTTGTATATCAAAAATTAAATGAAATTTAAATAAATTAGTAAAGAATGTGTAGTATATAAGTAACTGTTTTTGAAATTACACTGAAGATGAGACACACCATGGTCTCGAAACGTCTGTAATCATAAAATAAAGTTGTGTTAAACAAATCTGAGTGCTGTTTTGTTCATATTAAACAATTAATATTCGTTCCACTCATATCATAAAATTCTATAATATATATATATATATATATATATATATATATATATATAATGCCCAATCTTACAATTTTTTTGTAGAATTTGAGTTGTATTAATAAAATATATATTTAACATTCTCTATAAATATATTCAATATTATTTATATGTATTATATTATCATAAATCAATTATATAATTTTATCAATTCACTAAATTTCTAATAGTATAAATCTATCCATAATTCATTAAATACTATCAAAAGTAAAAACATTTTATATAAAAATGATGAAATATACAATAAATAACATAAATTATATATATATATATATATATATATATACATATTAAAGATGGGTAACTCACTCCGGAGTTATCACTTGGATACAACTCCTCCCTCGGAGTGAATCCGAGTGGAGATGTTTCAAAGGATTTGTCATATCCGACCTCCTTAAACTGGTATTAAATCTGTTAACTCGTACAGGCATTTAGTGTTTTTGTCATTTTTGATGTGGGAAGGAAGCGGTCACTTTCTTTTCTCGCAGGCAGTTTTATGACCTTTTTATGTATAAAAGTCAAAATAAATTTTGTTTCTAGATCTTATTCACTTAATTTAACATTGAAAATATTTATTTATTAGAGAGAATGTGGTCAAGTTCAAAGTGCTGTCATATATGGAGAGATTTGATACTGCGGCGAGAGCAGCAAAGACTTTGAGGCGGCCGTACTCTCAAACCATCAATTTTACAAATAAACGGTTTTCTAAAGAATTGTAGGAAATTTTATCTAGTTTAATTCGTACATAGATACTTTTATCGTAGAATGAGCCAGAAAGGAGATATTTTAAAAAAGCTGTTTTTTGACGTCATTTTTCCAATATGGCGTCAACTTGCCGTTCAAATTTGAGGTGGCAAAGTTGATTTTCGTAAAGAGCACCTCGAAATCTATAAGATTACCAATTTTCAGAATTCCCGGAGTACTGTACCGACAAAACGACCAAATGACTGGACTAATACTATAGATACCGAAAAATATACGAAATGAAATACATTTATTTATTCTTGTTTTTCCATAGCCTAATAACAACACTTTAGAGTACAAAATTTATTAGTGATATCATTACCATTTAAGCAGTAAAAAATATTCAGTATTATATTATTACTTTTACACAATTATATAATTATGTAAGAGTAATAATATGCTAATTGAACTACGCGATATAATATTAATTTTCAAATGGAAATAGCAGAAGAAAAATTTTGAAAGCAGAAGTATTATATTTTGCTTTTATTACAAAGCTTACTACATAATTTTTATATAAAATTAATCTAAAAAATCAATTATTTTCTCATCAAAAGGAAATCATTAAATTGAATTTGATTCTCAAGTTTTGCGTTTTTACTTTAGTCCACACTGCTAAAATTACGAGACAATAAGTCGATCATCTGGTCGACCGAAAAATTTTACAATCCGTCATTTATTCGTGAATTTTTTAGAAAAATCATTTTATTGATAATTATTCACAAATTTTTATTTCAAATAATTAATGGGATTTGACAAATCCTTAGATACATAAACAGCGTACTATAGAACGCATTTGTTTAGAGTATTTCGGTTTCAAAATTGTCGGAGTCGTGGAGTTGTTTAGCGGATATAACTCCACCATGAAGCGGAGTCAAATCCGAGTCGATCCGGCTTCGGATATAATAAGCCCATCTCTAATACATATATATATATATATATATATATATATATATATATATATAGACACATATATTTATATCTAGTAGTAGCTTGCAGCCAATTATTTACTTATAAAAACAAATATATATATATATATATATCTAAATAGGTTTTACTAAATAAAACGGAGATGAGTTTTCATCACACCATTTAAAAAATTTCAAACCGCAAGCTGCTGCAATATACATTAATGTTATTGCATCACCTTCAGCATTATGTGCATCTTTAGCATCTTCTTTATAAATTCTTTTATAAACATCACCTAACTTAAACGACGTTTTAGTTTTAGATACAAAAAGGCACTTTTTTGCACTTGTGCAATTTCTATCATTATAATCAGTACGTTCTCTTTTAGCTCTTAAATTATTTTCAATATATGTCGAGCTTGTGGACCGTGTTGGAGTTGTTTCATTGATAATTCTCACAGCCTCAGGTTGATAATAATTTAGTTCTTTCTTGAAATCACTAAATTTACCATCAGATAATTTTGAATTATCCAATTCATCAGTTGATTTTAAATCGGAAATGCTATCATTCATGCAAGATTTCTCTGTTGATTCTACAACAATTTGATCAATTATTGAATTCTCTTGAGACAATTGCTCAAGTGGTTTTATATCTAGTGTTATTGTATCATTTATGTTATCAGGCATTAAATTTAATTCATGTAATTCTTTAAAAGCATTTAAACTGTCTACGCATAAAATGCTCTCACATAGTTTCTATAATATAATATAAAACAAATTATGAGATCAGCATTAACTATTTAAAATTTTATATATTATTGATAAAACAATAATAGATCAGTTACCTGTCCAAGTTTATGTATTTCCTTTTGCAATATGGGATAATCAAATTTGTTTCCATTATGAGCAACTAAACAAACAGGTTCTGGTAGTCTCGATAAAAATAGTTCTATCATTTTTATTGTATCTAAATCAAATACCCTCTGGTGTTCCAGAATATCATTTGCCAAACCTGGAAAATACAAAAATACACATTATTACACAAAACATACTTAATAATGAATATTTATTCAAGATAAATCTGGAATGCAGCATACCATAGAAAATAACATTATAAAAAATTAAGAGGTCCCTCTGTGCAGAAACATTTATGCTTTTTAATATGGAAATGAAAATAATACGTGGCAGGAATTGATTTTTAATCAACTCGTATTGTTTCTTTAAGACCAACGGCATTTATAACTAGTGGTGTATGGCATCGTGCCTTAAGGCAAATTGCTGAAACTTCCCGTACCGTAACAAAATGTTCAAGGAATATTAAATGTTTTGAAATAGATTATTATTAATACTGTAACATTGTCTAATATTTATAAAAATTATATAAACTGAATCACAAAGTCAAAAATATGTATTTAAAGTATATAAGTGAGCTTTAAAAGTTTAGTCAGAATTAAAATTGAAATCTGAATTATTTTCGATACACACATATATAAAATAGAAATGAATTTTTTTTTCAAAAGCAATTGTTTTGTCAATACAAGTAAAAAGTTTTTTGAATCATTCAATTCGGATGCTAATTTCTCTCAAAATCTCAATTTTTTGAATATATTTAGCTCTGTATTTTCGAAATGGCAGGCACGGCCTTTGCCAAAAATTCATAACAACTTCTCCTAATCATTACTAATTGAATGTTTTTAGATCATTCAAATCGGATGCTCTGTTTTCTCAAAGACTCGATTTCTATTTTCTGCACTTTGAACCTGCCTTTGCCAAAAACTAATCAGCACATCTCCCTATCAATAGGAATCGAATGTTTTTTGAACCATTCAAATCGGTTGATCCGTGCGCTTGAAAACGTAAACGAAAAAATGCGGACACACAAAACACACACACACACAGATTTTTGGTTCATTACTATTACTATAACTACCCTATGGAAAGTTAAACATTACTTTATTAACAATACACAGTTGAAAGAATCTTTTAATTTCCAATTATAGAGTAGAGATATCTAAATTTACAACATTTCTATGGGATAGATTATGATTACTCAAATAAGATTTCAGATGTGACATTTTCCAATATTTCTTGCAAAGATTGCATTAATGCATTAACCCCCTTTAGAAGTTGTAGCATTTTCCTTTCTGATGTCATTATTTATAGTTTCTACTGTGGTTACCAGGAAATTCATATCAGAATTTCCTGTAAGGATTATGGGATTCTAATGATCAATTTCTTTATTAGTTACGTCTTGTATACAGAGTTTGCAAACCTGCAGTGGATAGTGATAAGACAAATGTTGCAATAGATGATTTAATAAAACTCATGAAATTGAAATTTGAATAAATTTCTTCAAATTATTTTTGCTGATGTTGACTACATATGAATGTGCACTCACAGCACATCTTTTTGATATTGAAAAGGTCATACCTAAGTAAGCTTTTATATTTAAATTTGGAGTTGATTTACAAGAGATAGCAAGCCAAACAAAATTTCGTTTTGTTGAAATCATAGTATGAAATTGAAACATTTTAGTTAGGTAGTTGACTGATATTCATTAAATCATATTGATAAATAATCGTAAAAGTCCCCTTATTTTAATTACTTCCCTTTGAACAAAATTTATTGATATGTGACTGTTCTCTCAGTGGACCATTAAACAAAGCGCTCTTATGAAAAATGGAATTCAAGTAACATAACCTAAAATATGATATCAGACAAAATTGAGTTATGTCATTTATTAATTAATTATAAAATTAACAAATGATTGATAATAATGGGTAATTCAAATGCAGAAATATCAGAAATTTCTTCTAGTCCCGATTCACTTGAAGTAGAAAACATACATAAACCAAGATGTAACAAAGTGTCCAGAAACAAAGAAAGCTCGGGAAGCATGTATTGTAGAAAAAGTGAAAGAAAATTGAAGAAAAGGACACATTGATAGAAGCACATAAAGTTTGCATGAGAAAAATGGGATTTAACATATAATTTAATTGTAGTTAATCTCTTAGACTCTATTATGTACTTATGATATAATTTATAAATATAAGTCAATAAATATGATGAATATATGAATATAAATATAATTCTCTGATCCATCAAACGTTGAATGAGCTCATGACGAATAAGAAAATCCTAAGACTTTGTGTATTAAATAACAAACTTGATTGTTCCCCTGATGTGACATTGCTATATGTTGAAATATAACTTCCAAAAGAGCTTCGAGTATCAGGTAACGATAATAATGAATGACAAGTAAATAAATAAATCATTGGAAACTTATTCTGTCTATTAATAATAACCTGTAATGTCAGTTGAAGTGATGATCCTTCTAGGATTAACACATAATGTTAATTTGTTTATAACTCTAGGCAACGTTTTATATTTGCAATCCATGAAATGATCTCTTTGTGCCGCTACCATCGTCAACTCTGTTATTCTTGTCCTATTAAATTCATAATCAGGCAAACCTGTCGTTTCTATATCAAAGAACACAAATGTTTTGATTTCATTTGAAGTCATTATAAAATAAATAAGATAAAATATAATTAAAATATATAAAAATAATACTAAAATTATTTAGTTAGGTTAAAATGATATTAAGCCATAGCGTCTTTGATGATGTTTTGTTTGATAAGAGCTGTCAAATGATATAAGAAGAGAAAGAGAAGAAATATAAACAAGTTGGACAACTGTATCGATATCATCCATAATCCATAGACCTTATACAATTTCATGGACTGCTAATTCGCTCAGAGCGTGACTGCAGCGCCCATGCAGCGCCGTAATAAATATGAACTAATGACGGCTATCAGTGTGTGGTTTTCATGGTTTTTATATGTTTGTTAAAGAAAAAAGATATTAAATAATTGTTATAAATAATAATAAACAAGATACAGTAATAATGTGAACGCCGAAAGTTTATTGAAATTATTCAACGTACTTAAAACATAATTAAGTATAATGATTAATTAAATAAAGAAATGCAGTAAACATTTTTAAGGTTAAGTGCCTCAAAGCTTATGTCATAATCTCGGAATTGTTCTCAATAAAAACAATATAATAATGATAAAAATATTTTATCAATATAATAAGTAAATAATAAATTAATTTACTCATTTTTTTATTATTTTTGGTCAAACTAAAGACTTACAATAGACATTATTATAAAGACATGATTTGATTCCATCATCCACCAGATAAAATTGCAGGAAAAAAAACTACTTTAACTTTTCGAGGCTTGTAAATTGAAGGAAATATTGTTGGCAAATAGATATAGGACTCAATACCTCGTCCGATTTTTTTCCTCTAATGAAATGTTCACTGCAAATGCGATCATAGGTCTTGGGAACCCACGGCGGTGATCCATCAACACTACAAATATATATTTTGCATTATTTCAGCATTGTATTAAATAAACTGTTTGCAAAATAAACACTTTAGCGCTATGTGATAACTTTTATTTTTCTCTTAATCATAAAATTACAATTATTATATAATAAAATGTAATTAATATATAGATAATAGTTATACATAATCAATATACAATATATAAATATATATTTTTCATTATTTCAGCCTTGTATTAATTACATTGTTTGCAAAACAATTTTTTCTAGTAAGCATTAAACAACAATAATATAACAATTTATTGACTTATAATTTTTCTTTTTGCTAAGCATAACGATTTTACAACTATTTATAATACTCCTAATTGTATTTTTATAACAATAAGGTTATGATACTTACTTTAATCTTCTAACCGCAGCGATCCACTTTTCCCGTTGATTTTCAATTCCACTTAGCTGTAGAAAATGTATAGAATTTGCAGTCACTTTTTCTGCTAGTATTTCTACAACCCACTATACAACAGCTTTGGTGGCTCATTTTTAATTATCCTATTTAAATTTGAAATAATCAAATATTTTATGTGTTTTCATTTAAAATTTCTGTTATAATAGCCAACTTTAATGCTCAAAGTAGCCACTACGAACGCTTTGGTCGATTTGAATTCCCCTTCCATGCCTTCGCACATAGCCTATCCCCATACATTTCTCAAGTAAAAAAGTGTCAAAAGATGTTCTATGGTATGAGGGCAAACGAGGGTAATTTCGCGGCCGAGATATGTCAAACTCGATCGCTTGAACGTCAAATGAAAGTCCGTGTGTTCGAAATTGTTGGGAAAATATTATATAATATACAATTTATGTTAAACTAATGAATGTAATGAACTATTTATATATTTATTTATTTATTTTAGTTATACAAAGTGTTTAAGGAAAATAAAAAAAAAATTAAAAAAATATTTTACATATTATAAAATTCACTGAAAATAAGAACAGTTGGCTAGAGCTATTATGGGAAATTAGAAAGCAATAATGAAATATTTGTTTAAATGTAATATATTTATTATTGGTGTTTAAAAAGCACAATTTTTGTGTGAAAGTGGCGTACATATTTATCAACTTTGCTTTTTTTATGTTCTTCATGGTGCATTCTAATTGTTAAATACATTTTTGCGACAAAGTTGATAAGGTCATGATAGTGCTGGACAAATTGCTGGAAATGGCTTGATCTAAAAAAATGTGCAAGTCCCAAGTCATTCAACCTTCGGAGAATCGTGCTTTCATATGAACTTTTGTACATTAAATTTAAAGAATTCCGAATTAGGGTTTCTATATTTAAACATAATTTAAACATTTCATCGGAAGGATATGAAAGATATCCTCGATTTTTTATATCGATAAATGTCGAATTTCCCGGAATACTTGCAAAGCATTCAGAACAGGTTTTACAGCAATCAGGAACTTTACCACAGACCAAACACATTTTAGAAGACATTTTACTTTTAACAATTTTACAACAGGTATATTTTTATCCTCTTTTAGTTTAAAAACCCGAGCGATCAAACATCACGTGAACCCAAGTAACTAAAATTTAAGCGATCGAGTGCATTCGACTAATCTCGGTAAAGCTCGTGTTCGTATTTGACCTATCTCGGCCGCAAAATTACCCTCGTATGCCCTCATACCATAGAACATCTTTTGACACTTTTTATGCGCTCAACTAGCAGTCCATGTATTGTATAAGGTCTATGCCATAATCACATACTCTTCTTTTATTTATGGATATAATATACGTTTATGATAGACAGCGACACAAGCGGATAAATTTTGAATCATAACAGTAAACCCTCGCTTTACGATACTTGTGAAATAAATATAAAGTCTGGAATTCACCCGATATCGATTTTAAGTCGAGCTTTTTTAGAAGCAATCGGGTGTAATTATCTCAAGATATTTAATATCTTGATATCGGTCAAAATTATAAGGTGGACGTGCCTTCTGCTGACTCCCCCTTCCAAACACCGGGTTGGTGTTGGTAATGGTTAGAGGATAAGCCATATTAGAAAGTGTTTTTTTCTAAATTTAATTTTTTTTAAGTACTTTAGATTAATTTTCTTAAAATCAGTGCTGAGTATATTGAAGAATCCAAGGATATTTCCAGGCAGAAGCCTGGGAAGAAGATCAAAATGAGCATGGAGGTGCAGACCAGCGGTGACCTCAAAAACAAATTCAATGCACTATCGGACCGATTGGATATGGATACAGACAGAGAGTTGAACGAATACAGAAAAGTGTCACGGAGAAAGAGAGCTAAGAAGAAGAAATCAGAGAGAAATTTTGGACAGCAGCCATCCGAGTCTGGAACTCGAAAAACGCCGCAAAAGATAAGTAAAACACCTGAGAAAATTCCACCCATCATTATCAAGGCAAATTTGGAATTAAAGACAATAAAATACATCCGAGACACAACTAAAATCCAATTCAAATATCAACACACAATTGCACAAAATTTTCACAGACACAATTCAAAAATACGAGAAAGTTAAAAACGTATTACGAGAATGCTATTACCAGTTCTACACATACTCAATGACAAAAGATTTACCGAAGAAAATAACGATGACTGGACTTCATCCTTCGATACCCAAAACTGGAGTTTGCGAAGACCTATTATTGAAAGGCGTGAAAGCCACACAAGTTATTCAGATCAAACAAAAACTCTCGGATGGCAGCCAACATAAGCTTCCCATATACATTGTCTCTCTAGAGAAAGATCAAGACATGTCGGAGCTGAAGCGAATTAATAACATTAGGACACAAAATAGGGAGACATACAAGTCACAAAATAGGGTTCTACAGTGCCACAACTGCTTGAATTTTGGACACAAATCGTACACCTGTGACATGAAGTACAGATGTATAAAATGCCTCAAGATGCACGCGCCAGGTGCGTGCAAGAAACTACTAACTGAGGCACCGATGTGTGTCAATTGTAAGACAGGACACCCGGCGAACTATTCTCAGTGCACCGCACTCCTTAATTTCATAAAGAAAAAGGAACACGATACGGAAAAGAAAAGCATACATGCCAGCTCCAACACCAATGCCATTGACAAGAAGTTTCTCGTCAGCTCTAAATCCCACAAACACCGGCCCTAACTTCAAACCTAATTATCCTCAACTCTCTATCCACGGACATCATACCGACCTCCGCTCCAGTCCACACTATCACCGCTCCGGCCTTCACCATCACCAAGACCAGCACCGATCCGGCCAACACCATCAATGGTCGAGTCTACAACTCAACACTCCGAAAGGACTGCGGATCCCCAGGTAAAGCAAATTTTTAGTGAGCTATACAAACTGACAAAAACACTAAACACAAACATGACTTATAACGACAAATACGCAACAATTTTAAACTTTCTTACATCGTTCCCATAAACCAATCACAAGACTTACAAATAATGCATTTTAGTTCAAATGGACTTAAAAACAACGTTGACAAACTGAGGCAGACGATAACAAATTATGGACATAGTACTGATCAACGAGACACACTTAAAACCTACGGATAGACTCTATATCAACAATTACAAAGTTTACAGAAACGACAGACAGACGGACGCACGCGGATGGGGCGGCGCAGCAATTTTGATCAAGTCTAGCATCAGACATGAGCAAGTGCCAAACCTGACAGCGGACGGTTCTTAAATAACAGCTATCAATGTATATAAGAGATGTCAAAAAGTAACCATAATATCTATTTACATCCCGGCAAGCGGACTAGGACATACGGACTTACAAAGACTACTGGACCCGAACAGATTTGTACTTATGGCAGGAGACTTTAACGCACAGCATACATCTTGGAACTGTAACTTTAACAATGCGAACGGAAATAGACTTTACGAATACCTGACGGAACACAACACCACAGACGCACAACTACACTATCCTGACACGCCGACCAGATACGCCACTGTACAGACACACCATCACAGTACAATCGATTTGGCATTGACAAAAAATCTACACGCAACAATCAAACCCATAACAAGAACACTATTTTACTCCGACCATAATCCAGTTTTCATGACCATTTCAGACAGACTAGATGTCGACGAGACTCCCAAACGCAAATTTTTAGATCACTTCAAGGAAAATGGCCATTTT